GTCTTCATTAGCCCACATGGTGCAGAAAAGTAGGAGGTAAAACTCCATTCATTTCATTTTTTTCCGATTGTTTCGATCTGTATTTTCCTCTGATAGCCCATTGCCTATTGTAGTGAGAACTGGGTAGAAATTCACAATCAATCCTCCAAGTTTTGATAAAACAGGGTTATTTTTCTACATCATCTGGTATGCATCAAACATTGTTTTCCATCTTGCTTGTTTTTACCCTCCCTGGTCAGATCACATACGTGTTTTCTTATACAATAACAGGCTGAAAATTTTCATGTGAAAAAAAGAATGTTCCCTTTGTAGCTCAGAAATTGTCTTCATTTTACTAAGAATTGAAAATGTTGACAAGTTTTGATGGCCATTAAAAGGTTGATTTTTTATAAAATTCATATCCTAAAACTTGCCAGTCGAAGTAATCATTGTAATTTAAGTGACTGCAGATTGACTGTCCCACAGACTGCCAAGTGACTGACCCACAGACTGCCAAGTGACTGACCCACAGACTGCAACTGCCCCACAGACTGCAGAGTGACTGACCCTATAGACTGCAGAGTGATTGACCCACAGACTGCAGAGTGATTGACCTACAGACTGCAGAGTGATTGACCTACAGACTGCAGAGTGACTGACACACAGACTGCAGAGTGATTGACACACAGACTGCAGAGTGACAGACTGCAGAGTGACTGCCCCACAGACTGCAACTGCCCCACAGACTGCAGAGTGACTGACCCACAGACTGCAGAGTGATTGACCCTATAGACTGCAGAGTGATTGACCCACAGACTGCAGAGTGACTGACCCTATAGACTGCAGAGTGATTGACCCTATAGACTGCAGAGTGATTGACCTACAGACTGCAGAGTGACTGACCCACAGACTGCAGAGTGACCAACCTACAACATCGCCCTAACATGTAACCAAACATCATTACACTTTTTCAAAAGTAGTGGCGATTGATTTTGCACACAACCCCTTCCATTTAAATTTGCCTTGAGGTTATGATGTGAGTGTGACCAATGTCAGCTCTCAATCCTTACTAGATTAAATAAATTTAATAAAAACATATACTATCCATCAACCATCATCAAATCTTTTCTAAAGATTAGAGACAACAGACAAGAAATACCTCGCAAGTTATTTATTAAAGTAATTGTTATCCATAAAATTGTGTCCAGTTATAGACAAGAAGTTAAGACTCATGGGAGCCTCACCTACCCACTAGTGTTTCAATTTAAGGCAAAAAATGTGTTTTGATAGGAATAAGTCTGTTTTGTAGGGCTGCAATGATTCTTGAAGTTGCGATTCAATACACTATATACTCATCCAACGATATGATTAATTACAGTAATTATCACTATTCATTTATTAGAGAAGGAAAGAGAAAAAAAAAAATAGAAATTTGTAAAATATTAAGCACTTGAGAACATTTAGAAGTAAGGATTTGTGAAAAAAATCTCCATTTTTTTAGGTCAGAAATAAATTTGAAGTGAAAATCATACTTGGAAAATGAAAACATGGCACAATTTCTTATACACACAAGGATTCTGTGTCATTAGCTATTAAAGGGGTCTAAGAATTAATTGTGCCGATACATCACGATTATTTTTATCCAACGCAATGCATCGATAAGAAAGAAAGAATCGCTGTTCATCGATTCATTGGTGAATCGTTGAGGCCCTACTGTTTTGTATGGTGTATACTGCCAGTGATAGTTGACCTTGAATCTAACTGTAAATATCTAAAGTATGATAAATAAGGATATTACTAATCTTGTTTTTACTTCAGTATCTACTTTATATACCAGTAAATACCTTGTAGTAATTAATGATTCATCACCTGACCCATCCTTGATTAAAATCATCCCCTGACAAACTTATTATTAATCCCTTGTTCTGACCTATCCTTTATATTCTACCAAAAACTTTTATAAGGC